AACCCCCACCGCTACCTCAGCCCCCAGCCAGCTTGGGCACTCCCCGGCCAGGCACTCTAGCCAAGAGGTGGGGTTTGCAGCCAGCCAAGCACTGTGGCTAGAGCAGGCAGGCTGCAAACACCCTCCCAGCCAGAGTGCCTGGCCAACTGCAAACCCTGGGTCATAAACGCTGTGCTCCCCACTCTGCTGCCCTCCCCCAGGCTCTCCAGAGCTCAGCGTCTGCGACTGGCATGGCAGGGCACAGCGGGACCACACACAAAAGCTGACTGCCACTGCAAGCTTCGTACTACCCTGCCCACAATTCCTTTGCATGCACAGGGGCTGTCCACATCCACCCTGCCCACACCCCCAACACAGATCTGGGGGGTGCAGGTCCCCCCTACCACCCCCCAGGAGTGCACGTTGCCACTGGGAGCTGGCCCCACCCAAGCCTGCACCAGGCAGCAGGGGGGAGGGGGGAGCCACCTCATGCTCCTGCTGTAGCAGCCACTGCCTTCCGTTGGGGGCAGGGGGCTGCAGACCTGGGTCCCTGGCCCCACAGCCCTGGCAGCTGGGGGCCTCCTCCAACAGGGCTGGGGGGCAGGGACTGTGGGTGGGGGTCAAGGGGCACAAGCATGGCCTGTGGGCTGGGACGGGCGGGGGTAGTGAGGGATACCAGCAGGGCTGTGGGGGGCATTTAACCACAGATTTTGGGATTTTTATCAGAGAATTTGCATTTTTTTTTTTTTTTAATCAGAGATGACCAGGCTCCCCACCAACCCAAAGCCTCATAAAGCGTTTTGGTGAATTGGGGGGGGGCAAAGGGGGCTGTGACCTTGCCTATGACAGTTCACCAAAATTCCCTACGTGGCCCTTGGGCCCAAATAATTGCCCACCCCTGGGTTAAAGGCACTCAGTCAGGATTTAGGAGGCCTGAGTTCAGTCCCTTTTCTGTTTCAGGGGATTCAATGTAAGCATCAAGGTACAAACTATTCTCAGCTGGGAGCACTCTCTTGCCAAAACTGTTCCACTTTGCATACTATCATAAAAGATTTGTTGCATCAGAGACAGCTTTGCTTGGTGTGCATTATTAATATAGATTTGAAGTCTGACTTGTCCAAAACACAATTAATAGTATTACTTGCTATTTGTGCTGTAGCACCCATGGTCCCCACTATTGCCCAAGATCCCATTAAGCCAAAGTTAGACTGATGCCCTGTACTAATTTAAGCACACGTCTAAACCTTGCACACATCAGGACTCCCTTTGAAGTCCATAGTACTATTTGTATATCAAGTTAAATGCATGCAGAGTAAGAGCCACAAAATAGAAGAATCTGAACAATCTCTTCTATTATAGGTTTGAAGGACAATCCAAAGGTAGGGATGTACAACACAGTCCATCAGATCAAGCCCAGTGATTTGTCATAATTCTTTATTAAGCCACTATACTAAATGAAAAAGGATGTGAAAAATTAATAGTGAGTCCTGTGTCCTCACTGTACAACAGTTTGTTCAAGTGTGCATGTGACTGCATGTGAAGTCCAGTTACCTGGCTGTACACATGGCTAAGGGCTTATATCTGATCAAAGCAAATCTTACCAGTGACAGCTTCCATTGGAAAATGTATTTTACAAATGGCCCTCAGAAAACTTTTGAGTTGTGCAACCTTGCCAAAACCCTACTGTGGTTTCTATATGGGTTAAAGAGAACAACAGAAAAGAAAAACATAATTTCAGTCTACATAATTTAGACACGTATAATGCTTTACTCACCAAAAATCTTCTGTAGTACTCCAAAGGTTCCACAGTTCTGGAAAAAAACAGAAAAATTCTTATGGAAAAAGCTGTTTTACAAAACTGAATTGGCTAGTCAAAACCTAGCAAGAAGCTTAGTGCTTTGTGGTTTAGCCAAGTTTGACAGTCAAGTCCTGTCTGTCTGTTGACTATGTTTGGACAGAAAGCTAGCCAGCACTGCCAACAACATACTAGAATACTCTATCATGATTTTTCTGATGGATTTGAGACATGAATTCAGATTCTAGAAAGATGGTGGCCCTGAAAAAAAGAAAGGGCTCAGAAACAATAATGTTTGGCAAACATGGAACTTTTTGTCAATCACCCACAGAACAGTCTTTTGTACAATTCATTCATTTTATACCATTACATTGGACATCTCTTCAAACTAACAACACTGAGAGAGGTGGAGGAGAAGAAGATGATCATCAGTAGCAAATCTATGCCTGAAAATAGCTATGGCAGTCTGTAACACTGCCATTAAAATAGCACAGCATTTCCTGGAAAGGAATGTACCTCGGTACAAGGCTTTCTTAGGTTTTGTTCAAACATGTATTTTTGGAGACAGCCACAGGTATAGTAATCCTGAGAATGAATTTAGTTTCTCTGTATACATATTTTGGCATCACAAATCAGGAAAACAAGTTTAAAGGCAATTCCCAACAAGTCACCCTGTGAAGCTCCTAACTGGCATCAATACAGGTATTACTTCCCACTGGCTCAGGCTGTAGGATCTATGTCCCACTTCACTGAGGGTGAACAAGAAACATAGGGGAGGGGGGGAAAGCTGGATGGCTGTACAATTCCTCCCTTGGCTAAATTCCTTGAAACACACCCTTTGTCCAAGCACTTCAAGACCTAACCTTCTTTTGCTCCAAACAGATCCCTCCCTTCCAGCCTACCCAAGACTTGAGACAGGGTCCTGGTTGCTTTAAATTTCCCCCTTAGCTATTTCTGGCTACACCAAGATCTACAGCTCTCAAAATACTTCAGCTGAGGAAAGATCAATTCTCATGCCGTGTTGTGGAAGCTGCCCGTGTAACCAGATTCCAAAAGGGACTGGACAAATACTCAGAGGAAAGGGGCATCAACAGCTCTTGAGCAGAATCTGAATTTACCAAACCTTAAATGCTGGAGCCTGCAAGTAGGAGAGGAACAACAGGGAAAACCCTGCCCCTGTTCACTCTCCCTTTCAGCATCCACTCCCTGCCACCGTGGGACACAGATGGGGGTGGAGGGGGTGGAACCCGAGTTTAGGGAACAACTAAAGAGAAAACAGGGATGGGAGCGAGGTCATGAGTTTAACAAAAGTGCTCTGAGGGGGGACATGGATCATAGCACACTAGGGCAGTGCCCACAGGCCCTCAAAGGAACCAACAGACTCTGCCCATGAAGCATGTCTCTGTTGCCCATGCATGAAGCATGTCTCTGTTTGCCCAGAGACATGAACAAAGCAGGGACAGGGAGACATCTTTGCAGGCTCTGACAGCTGTGTGACACGGGTCCATCTGGTGGCTTCCAAGGGACTGGGGCCCTGCTCAAGCAGACCTACAAGCCTCCCTCAGAAGAGGCGGCCACTGAGAAAGCAGCACCTGGTTTCCTGGGATGAAAGAAGGCAACGTGGAGGCAGGAGCGAAGCTTGGAGGCTCAGAACTAGGCATGGAGGCTGGACCCCTTGGGCAGCTCCCAGTGATGCTGGGAGGGGAGACGGCCCTGCGGCCCTGGGGCTGAATGAGGTATGGAAGGAGGGGGGGGAGCAGCAGCTTCCCTCAGGGGATGCGCCCTGGCAGTGTTGTCTAGTGTACAATAAGTATCATATTCGTGCGATGATTTCAACTATTATACAACGTACAATCAATCAGAGTAAAAGCATTCAAAAAATAAGATCATTTTTATGGGCGTTAATTGATGCCACATACACAACACCCAAATCTCCCTCGGAGGATCTTAACCACGCTTTTGGCCTTGCTGCCGGCACTTCCTTACCACGGCCTGCCTCGAAATAAATGCTTCAAGGCCCAGGTCTCTCTCACTCACTCACTCTCTGACAACGAGCAGCGAGCAACAGCCAGCAAACGAGAAGACGTCCTTGCATTCTCATTTGCACAATTATTCGGCGTACGAAAAATTTTCAACAAATACCATAATTTCGAGCTGGTAATACGACAGTTTCATACTTAAAACCTGGGAAAGGCTGCGCCCCGCCCCGGCCGCAGGGACCCGGGCAGCTGGAGGCTG